CTCGCCCCCCTTGCCAGTTTTGGGGTGGTGTTGCTGGAGCTGATAACAGGCAAGCCGCCCGCTATGAACAAGTCCCAGATCTCGCACGTCTCGCACTCCCAGTTTGACAACCACCAGCTCATTACCATTGCCGAATGGGTCAGTCCCTGCTCCTCTCCATCGCTTAAAGCCCATCCTGTGCTTGCGTTGGCCGCCTCGTCAGGCTGCTGTCTGTCTTGCCCTATGAGCTTTGTCGTTGCGTTCTTTTTGGTGATGTTGTGCGCTGCTCATCCTGAGCTCCACTCCCCCCTGCTCCTCTCTCACATCCCCTTTCTTCTACCCTCGTCCGTTCCCGTCTTCCTTTCCACCTGCCACAACACCCGCCTCACACCATCACTCCTCTCCACTCCCCTCCACCACTGGCAACCACTCAGGCCTTCCCGCTGATTGTCTCGGGCGATCTAGACCTGGTGGCAGACCCGCGCATGGGGCCAAATTACTCCAAGGAGGCGCTGCGAATGATGGCAACCGTCGCCCTGCAGTGCATTCAGCGCAGCAGCGCCGACCGCCCAGACATGGGGGACGTTGTGCGGCTGCTCTCAGAGATTCGCTACGAGGTGCGTGGGAAACGCCCCGCCACCGCGTTCCTCCCAACGGGCGAGACGGATTACAGCGGCGCGCCCCTGGTGCCGGAGGGGTACTCGGGGATTAGTGACACGATTGAGATTACCGCTCCCACTTCGATTATTCCGGGCGGTCGGTGATTTTCTGGAGGGTGGAGGGGTTTCTTTTTGGGCTCGGAAGGGTGTGGTATGGATTTTTAAGTGAAGGTGGGATTGGGTGAAAAGGAAGGGCGGTGGTGGGTATGATAAGAGATGAGGTCATCCATGCAATGGGAGTCAGGTAGTTACGTAACTTGGAAGATGGGAAGGCGTGTCCAATGCATGCAAATGGCATGCTTTATCACAGAAAGTGGTTAGACAGATGGGGCTGTTTCCAACCTGGCACAGCACAGGCAAGCTCAGGTGAACATTGCTCTTCCGTGCAGTGCCGGAGTAAGAGCAAATGCAACGATGCTTGAGAAACTGCATTGTGTTTGCCCTTAACACTGTATGTACGTACGGTACCTTATGGAGCTCGCAAGTTTGCCGCATTTAGGCAATGGATGGCAGTGCCACACTTATGCCATGGGACCTTTGGTGGCGGGCCAATGTTATTTATATCGTACACAATTTTATCTTATGGTCTGATTTTATGGAATAATTGCTAGAAACTGAAAAACAATGGATTATAGGGTTGTACAAAGGCCCATTCCAGCGCAACTGTACAATAGCAATCTATTTAGGACTTGCAGAACTAGATTTGTTGTGTTGTTTGTTTCTTTTGAGTCTCACTAGATTATTAGTCCACACGATCTATCTTAAATTTCGGGCTATGATGTTCTGCTGGCTTTGTACATTTTTTCTTAGGTATGTTGCTTTGTTTCGCTTTTCATGTATTTGTTCATGCCAGGTTCTTCTTTTTAGCCCCATAAATAGCGCTTATGCTGCCCCGAACACTCGTATTCCAGGGACAAACGCGTTCAAATCAGCACAAAGTCGATGCCACGCCTTGCAGGAAACACTTTACTCCACGAGAAATTCGAGAAGGTTCTTTTTTCACTTGATTGGCCGGTGCCAGATTGCTATATTTACAGGTCCAGCTACTGGCAGGATTGTTGACTGTAAGACGACAATGTGTAAAAAGACATTTTCGAGAATGAAATGTTTTTCGATTATTCCAAATTGTAGTAATATTATCTGTTTCCATATCTGTGTATTCGTTTATGCATCAGAGGGTATTGTTCGGTACAAATTGTTGTTCTCAGGGGCTATTAAGCTGGATGATTGGCTTCCCTCTTTAATATACGTAAGATTGCTAACGGCAGGAGCCTGACAACGTATCAGATCCTGGGTTACAGCGGATCCGTGATTTGAGTTTCCGTCAGTGGCGCCCTTACGCTTCGAATCAGAGGAGCTTCGTTTTTGCGTGTCATTGGATCTCCGCCTCGTCAACGAGCACCACTTGACAAGGCCGCACTTCTCGACTTATTCATGAACTGCCATCAAATTCCGGAGATACTTTTCAAACGCTGAGCACGCGCGATACCATTTTTGCTGTTATTTCTTTTGTGCTTGGTTGGGTGGAAGATAGTTCCAGCATTCGAGCCCACTTGAGAGATGGCCAAGAACCTCACACAATTCCATTCCACCTTATAGCGTGGGCCCAAACGGGTTTGATCGCCTCGATCAGCCGCGATCAATACTTTCCAGGAAGCCTGGATGCCAAATTCAGGCAATCAGGGGCAATCAGCTGATCGCCCCAACTCGATCAGACCCAATTTACCCCCTGATCAATTGATCGTGGGTGATCGGGGACCACAGCGATACAGACGAAAAGTTACACTGTATTACAGGGACTCGTCAACCCCTCACGAAGATGTCCAGCCTATACAGAAAACCCTGGAAAGTTACACTATATTACTTGGATACAGAGAGTTTTGCCAGATTCCGTCTGGTCGCCAGTCTCGCTAAGATTGCCACGAAATTACCAGGTAATTATATCCTGCTTGCTGAGCAGCCAAAAAGAATCTTCTAAGAAAAACATTACTGATCGGGCGGCTCGGGCATTGCGATCACAAGCAACCCGATCAGATCCGCCCCGATTAGGACGCGTTGAAAGTAGACGATCGATCGTGGGTAGCGATCGATGTGCGGATCTGTAACCCTATTTACTGTGCTGTAACCTTGCTACAATATGGTTTTTTGGCCAAAATTTGTGCATAGTGTGTGAATGCGACTGATCACTGATCGCGGGAGATCAGTGAGAGGCATCAAAGCGTAATTGATGCTCTCGAACCGAGCCTACCTGGCGCGATTGATTCTGATGCCTGCGACTTAATGAAATTTCGCAGAGCCAGGAATCGCTGTCGCCCAAATTGTCCACATTTGCCGAAATCTGTAAACATCACATCGCCAGGGTGGTTGCCCTGTTGGCTGCGAGTATTGCAGGTGGGTATGGACAACGTATGTGTTTTGGGTGCGAGTCTCTTGCAGGGCAATAATCTCGGTCCTGGAACATCCACCGCAATGCTCAGGTGCGATCGTTACAACGTATCGGTCTGCATGTTTCGCCAATCGATCTGCCCACTCGATTGTGGGGCTCGATTTATGCTCGAGATCCCGCGATATTTGCACTTTCAAGTGTCCTCAGATCAGTCTCGATCAAACCCGTTTGGGCCTACGCCCTTATTCCAATCAAGCTCAATGTTTTTTCCTTGGAAATCGCACCCATGCAATGGTGGATGAACGCGAGATATCTTTCGTAAGTGGTCGAGGACGTGTCTCATGTGAAGGGTCCGCTGGATCTGGTCCGCGACCAGAATCGATACGCCTGGTCCGGGGTTCTGGTCCGACGGACCCACTTGGCGGACCAGCGTTGGACCAGACACGGACTGGTCTGCCTGATGCGTCGCGCTTCGGGCTGCACAGTTTTTGCGAGATGCAGCAGTAGCGACGAATTTGAAATTGAGTTACCCGTTTTCTTCGTCTGAAAAAAGAACTTACGCGAAACTTACAAAACAAGAAATTTCGCCAAAACAAATGTTTCCCCGCCCACTGTTTACGGACCAGGCGCGGACTGGTCTGGAGGGCCAAATAAATGGTACCGTTCTAGTGCCATTCGAACGGTATAACAGGGTTATAAGCCCCACATCCTGGTCCCGGTCCGCCCTGGTTCACGCGCTGGTTCTTGAGCTGGTCCGTCATATCTGAGCCGGATCCACGTGGACTCTACATCTGAGACACCCTCTGAGTATCCAAACACTGCAGTGTATCACGTGGTTGTTTGGAGTTGAACCCCTAGTATGTCAGATTTTTGCAGGCCCCACAGAATGATGGGTTCGACGATTTTTTCTCGCATTGAGCACAGACTGAGGTCAAAAATCGTTATGCCATCGAAATTTGCCTCCATTGGCTTTGCTGTGGGAGAACTGTCACCACCAACCATCCCTCCCCACCCCGCCCTTCGGCCCTCAGCCACCACTTCAGTGGATCTAGTTCTCACAGGGTTCGAGCCAGCTAATCAACAGCCAGGAAGAGTGTGAGTTCTTCAACGAAGCTCGTGCGGGCAGGGCAAGCTGCCACACCCAGTGCCCAACCCAGCACAGAGACAAGCCATATCCAGAATGGCATAATGACGTTCGTACAGTAGGCAGGCACGCGCTCAACGAGTGACACAGAGTCCTAGCCATCCATGCTCAACCCTCCCCCTGACTCTTCCATCGCCCTTCGGAAGGAAGGCGAAGTACCTAGCTGTACCTTTCTGCCACTACCTCATTCATTCACTAAGCCAGAATTTTGTACTGTACAGTACCAGCCCGCCTCGACACACGCAGAGCCAAAGCGAAACGCTCCATCAAATCCCCACTCAACTACAGAGTGCAGGAATTAACTACGGACCGACATAATTCGCACCATACCGTTGATCACTCACACCATACCCCTGGATCTCTGCCCATCTCATGCGCGCCTCTTCACTCTCTCGCTCTCTCTCCCTTCCCCCAGACTCATCCACACGCGTGCACGCACCATTGCTCCGTACAGTACAAGCTGCAATGCCAGGCACGATAGAAGTTCCACCAACCGATCCTTGTCCTCATAACCGTGCAAGCTAACTAGATCTCTTCTGCGCCGTGTAAAAGCCCACCACCCTGACTATCTTTTCACAACAGCATTCCGCGAAAACCACTGCTTCCTGCGTCGTCCGTTCGAAAGGCCGTACCCATCCACCAGCCTCACCATTTTCGGACCTCGAGCCAGTCCCCCTCGTACGCTCCAGTGCGTTCCAACACGCCGACGCGCCTTGACACAGGGAGCTAACTAGCTCACGACCCCCTTCACACGTCTGAATCTTGCGGCCGCACTCAGCAGGCGGGTTCTAGTTCCCCTTAACATCTCACAGGAAACCGTCGATTGCATCATATGTCACCCATGGCTGTCCTTCGACTGCCGACGGAACACCGCACCGCGCTTTCTCTCCACGACTTCTACGACGCGTCGCCAGCGGCTGCTGGTGGCATCATGGCGACTGGGACGTTCTCGCGCCCCCAGCTGAGCCTGCCCTCGGCCTTCTTCAACTCCGCTATCCTCCAGTCGCACGGTTTGCGGTGCGATCATGCGCACGGGTCGCACAGTCTGTCGCCCGATCTCGCACGCTGGTATGAATCCCCTGCGCCAGTCGCACAATCGTCTCCCGCGGCCCAGCCTGTCGCCTTCCAGCCGGCGGGCCTGTCAACGACCCGCAGCGGAGCTGGACATACCACCGCTTGCGCCGCTCCCACTCCTTCCGGCCCTCAACAACGGTTTCTCGCTGCCAGCAATGCCGTCAGGGCCGTGAGACCACTTTACGGATCAGAGACCTCCCTCCCAGCCGCAACACGCCACCGAGACGCGGATCTCACGCTTGCGGCGCCGCCAGCAGCGAAGCGAGCGCGCGTGTCCGACACACGCTGCGTCGGAGTGGCTATGGCGTCACAGCAGGGAGCGGCGAGCCCGAGCCCGTTATTGGACCTACCGTCGGACATCCTGCGAGTCATCATGGTTAAAGTCGTCTCCAGCGCTCACTCGCCGGCTCAACTCGGCAACGTCATGCTCAGGTCCGTCAGACATTCCGGCCTTGAACTCGCTCGCTTTCCCTCACTCCCTTCCTTTTCCTCTCTCCTCCTCCCTCTCTCCCTCTCCCTCTCTCCCTCTCTCCCTCTCTCCCTCTCTCCCTCTCTCCCTCTCTCCCTCTCTCCCTCTCTCCCTCTCTCCCTCTCTCCCTCTCTCCCTCTCTCCCTCTCTCCCTCTCTCCCTCTCTCCCTCTCCCTCTCCCTCTCTCCCTCTCCCTCTCTCCCTCTCTCCCTCTCCCTCTCTCCCTCTCTCCCTCTCTCCCTCTCCCTCTCTCCCTCTCTCCCTCTCCCTCTCTCCCTCTCTCCCTCCCCCTCTCTCCCTCCCCCTCTCTCAATCTCCCTATCAATCGCCCCCTCATCTCTCTCCCTCTCCCCCTCCCCCTCTCTCTCCCCCTCTCTCTTCCTTTCTTCTTGCGCCCTTTTCTCAATCCCTCTCACCCCTCTCTCCGTGCCCCCCTTCTCTCCCCCACAGTTGTCGCGCCTTGAGAGCACTCTGCTGGTCGCAGCAGGCGCTAGCCGCTGTCAACCCCGCCGTGCTGCACATCCGCGCGGCCCAGTGGTCTCCGCGCGCCAACCGCTTCCTCTCCGCGTGCGCCGCCGCGGGGAACGCGCCCGCCGCGTACTTCCTCGGCATGATCACGTTCTACAGCTTCGGGAACTATGCCGAGGGCTTGAAACTCCTGGCGAAGGCCGCGCTTGCGGGACATGCGGCGGCCATGTATGCGCTCTCCGTGGTTCACTTCAACGGGAGCGGCATGGCGCAAGCGCAGAGGAACCTCCCCGTGGCTCTAGCCCTCTGTGCGCGAGCAGCGTCCCTAGGCCACACACCTGCCATGCGCGAACTGGGGTACTGCCTGCACGATGGTTACGGGTTACCACGCGACGCTGCCCAGGCACAGCAGCTGCTGCTGGAGGCCGAGGCTCTCGAAACGGCGGAGAAATCCCGCGCGATTGGCGTCGTGGTGCAGGGTGGTGGAGTGAATCCGGTAGCGGTACGCGGTGGTGACAGGGTGAATGGCTCTCGTTTGGAGCAGGTGGAGGAAGATAGGGAGGAGCAGGAGGAAGAGGACCAGGAGACGCAGGAGGAGGCAGATATGATGTTTGCACGTGAGATTCTTCAATCCGGAAATTTGCAGAGCGCACTTACCAAGGACGAAGGGCGTGTGGACGTTGCTCCTGCCGAATCATCCCAAGAGACTGCAGCAGCAGCAGCAGCAGAAGTAGAAGCAGGTGCAGTCTCAGATGCTGAAGCAGCACCTGTAGATCCTGCTGCTCGTCTGTCCGCTCCTTCCACAGATGCCACAGGCGTTGAGGAAGTTGCGGATATGCAAAGCCTAGACAGTAAGGAGTGGGAACCCAGCTCTCCCTCTCTCGCCGAACTAATGGAGCTGCAAGAAGCCGAGAGTTGCCGCCCGTCAGACCCCGCCCACTTTTTCCTGCTGGAATGGCAGAAGCTCACTGGGCTAGTTTCTAATACCAGTACCCACCGCATCCACATACCAGCTCTTCCCTCCCATGGTGCCGCAGCTGCATCTGATCTTTCTCCCACAGCCCCTGTCGCCCCAGCTGCTCCTGGTACACCCCCTTCGCTGCACGCCTGCTCCAATCCGCAGTGTGGGCGGCAGGAGACGAGGGAGCATGAGTTCCGGTGTTGTGCCGCATGCACAGAGGCTAAGTACTGCTCCCGAGCATGCCAAGCTGCTGACTGGGTGGGGGGTCATCGTGTCGCGTGCACTATGCTAGGTGCTGCTCTTGCGGCTATGACACAAGGAGCTAGGTTCTAGAGAAGAAGGCAGCAGCTTTTTGTTTTTTGTTCATTTGCATTCTATTACCCTTACAGAAGGTACTCTTATGCAACTGGTCTAAGAAGCAACAGTGGCTCTGTGTCTAAAACCTGTAACCCTATTCCCAAACCACTTGGCAATTGCAAGATACAGAATATCACACACATTCAGCTGAATCTATGCCACATGTTGCAATCCATGCGTAAAGATTCGTTCAGATTGTTAGTGCTGGTAGATACACAGTAACAAGGTTCCCTAGATGACAGCATCATGCTGAAGTGTGGACGCCTGATGCATGTCTCATGTGCACAGCCCAGTACATTATCTGGACCATCAGTTCTTTTAAACTGATTGATGAGCTTTACCGGTACCCAACATACAACATCACCCCTGGTCACCGTCGTTTCTCCCTTACCCATGTGTGCACCACCTGCTCATTCACAAGCTTGCCAAACGCATCAGCAGAAGCAGCTCCGGTCACTGCAGGGGGGGTTTCATCAGCAGAAAAAGAAGCGGCAGTGTCATTCCCATGGCTCCCTAATGCTGCCCCACCTGTGCTTCCAGCAGCAGAAGCATCATCGCCTGCGGCAACAGCATGATCGAATTTTATGCCTGTCATGGCCCTTGGTGGGGATTCAATGCTGCCACCATTCACACCAGGGAAATCACCAGCGGCAGCAGAGATACTAACAGGAAGTTCTGCGCTCCTTTGCGGCTGCATGGTGTCAAAGGAAGCAGTTAAACCCAAGGCTGGAGGAGCGAGGGGAGCATATTGGCTGGCAATGGAAGGACAGTGCTCTGCCTGGCCATCCCCCACATCATCCACTTCTTCATCGGAGAAGCTAATCAGTAGCCCATTCTCCTCGCTCTCCTCTGCTGCCACAGGGGCTTCAGGGCTTGCTGCAGAAGACCTGAAGGGCCACATGAGTGATAGAAGCGAGGCCTTGGGGGGTACACCCCCCTCCTCTTCCCGCCGCTCCCCTCCTCCTTGCTGATTGGTGGAAGCATGCAAGAAAAGGGGCTGTTGCATGGTGCTGGTGCTGGTGGCGCCGCTGCTGGTGGTGGTGGTGTTGTCAGACTCGGTACTCCGTGGTCGCTGCATGAAGCGACTAGGGAGAGAGAAGAGCAGCAGCAGCACTGCAAGCGCTGTAGATGCGATGCGATGGATGACAAGCGACAGCGCGGAGCCTAGCTGCACGGGAGACAGAGAGAGTGGAGCAGAGAGGGGTGCGGGGCATGGTAGGATAGAGGATGAGAAGAGGGAGTGGAGATGGTTTGGTTGCAGAGAAAGGGATGAAAAGGTGTGAATCTTAAAGAAGGGTGCGGCTAGAACGCTGTAATGATTGGAACGCAGTATCCCGCAGGCAGGGTTAGAAGAATATGCTGGGAGTGAGCACGACGGGGGAGGGGAAGACAAGGGCAGAAGGAGATGGTGGGATGAAAAGAGGGTGGGCATGGAGATGCGTGGTGTGGTCTCACTCACATGGGACGTGCCGGCAGCTGCCGCTGTGAAAAGCGCCTTGCCATGAGCACACAGCACACCAGCTGCAAACGCACCCCCTGCCACCTCCGTGTCTCGCCACGTTGCGTGCCATGGGGAGGACGGCGGAGCTGACTCACGGAGAATGGGGCACGCACAGAGGATGGGGCACGCACAGAGGATGGGGTACATGCAGGATGAATAGCAGCGCGGGAAAGATAGAAGAAGGGCGCAAGCGGTTGTGAGGTGCGCAACAAGACATGTAGCACGACAAAAATGGATAACTGTAAAGTGCGAACGTGCACGGAGGCATGGACAGAGGCATGGAACGGGAGCAAGAAGGTGCCTGTACCATGTGCACCACACATGCGGCTATCATACTGCCATGGCCATGCCATGCACCAGCATTGACAGCACGGTGGCACCATGCTATGCAGCATGGGTAAGGACAGACACAGAACCGAGAGCCACGACCATAACAATCCTTACCATCATGCCCTCCTCCTCCCGAGCTGTTCTTGGCATTGCACAAGCACCCAGGGATCCCTGCCACATCCCCAAACAAGCCCCCACTGCCAGCAGTAGCAGCAGCAGCAGCAGCAGCAGCAGCAGCCGCCGCCTTTTCCGTCGACACAGCCACGTAACCAGCAGAAAATCCAGCAGCAGCAGGTGCAGGTGCAAAGGCAGCGATCCTCTGCCTGCCGGTGTCCACGACATAGAGCACGCCGCTACTGGCGTTATACCAAATGCCAGACACGCCAGAGCCCAGCTTGGCTGGATCCGCGGGGGGGTGCGGTTTGGAGTCCAAGTGCAAAGGCTGCTTCTCGCTGCGGCTGATGCCGGCGTGTGGACGTGCGGATGGTGATGGTGTTTCGCCACTGTGATGCATGCGTGCTAGGAGTGCTCGGGCGGGGGGATACGGAGCGAGGGTGGTGGTGGTGGGTGCGTGGGTGCTGCGCATGAATGGCGGCTGTGGAGGGGGGAGATGAGACACGCTGCTGCTGTTGCGGATGGTGGTGACGTCGCCTGGAAAGTGACGGAGAGAGAAGAGGGCGGGGAGACGTGGGGTAGAGGGATGAGAAAAGAGATTGTGGCAGAGATGGGGAGACGATGACGGGTCCAGTGCAAAGCAAGGAGCGGTAGGAGTACTTTAGTAAGAAGTACTTTACACCTCATTTGCCCCACCCTGTGGGGAGACGACGCTGCGATTGAAGGGGCCTCAAGAGACCTACCCTGTGGGGAGACGACGCGCAGGTAGCTGCTGCGGTCCACCACAAAGAGATTCCCCTGGCAATCGGCCGCCAGGTGCGTTGGCGTGTCAAATAGCGCCCCCTCCCCCCGCCCGTCGGAATGGCCTTGCGTGCCATTCTTTCCTGCCAACACAGACACAGCGGACGCTGGTGAGAGAGGAGGTGCGGGGGGAAGGGAGGGCGGGCGAAGAGAGGAGGTGCGGTGGGAAGGGAGGGCGGGCGAAGAGAGGAGAGGGATGACAGAGGCGGCTGAGATTATGCAGCGAGGAGAACGAGAGGTAAGGAGAGAGGGAGGAAGGGGAGAGAGAGATGACTGCAGCGGTAATGAGAAGGAAGGGGAGGAGAGGGTAAGGTGGAGGAGAGAGGGAACGGAATAGGAGTGATCCAGAAGGAGAGGCGTACTTGCGGAGAGAGGCAGCTCGATCTTGAGAATAACGTGGTTGGACCTATCCGCGACTGCCACGTGGCGCCCATCCGGCAGCGGAGCCATCGACGAGAGGACCATGCTGCGGTAGTCCTTCGAGGACCATGCTGTCTGCGCTGCGGTTGGGCGAGGGGCGGATGGGAGGGACGGCGCAAGGGGGAAGAGAGGAGAAGGGAGCGGAGAGCGTGGGACGAGGGGACGCGACTCCGGCATGCCTGATTTGGGTTTCCGCGCTCTGATTGTGAGAGCACGGCGGAAAGTACCTCTGGTGAGCAGGGGACAGTCACGCGACTGTCAAGCAGGCGCGACAGTCAAGCAGGCGGGTACTCGGGCAGCCAGGCAGACGGGCGGGCGGGGAGGCAGGCAGCGCGCATGCACCTTTACTACCTACGCACTAGAATTGAGTATTTAAAAAATCATATCAACGAATTAACTCGCCGCGCCTTCGCGGGGTGCTACGGCTGCAAGCAGTCGCATGCGCGCGCACTCGAGGCGACAAACCTGTTGATGCTATCCCCCCTCACACGGTTTCCTCGCTGCTTTACAGGCGACTCAAAAGCGCGCTCTCCTCTCGCGCGCGAGAGCTTCACGCTACTGACCAATGAAAGGACTCCTCTCGCGCACGTGCTTCGCGGCTCCCTCGCTGCTCGCAGCGACCGCTGGAATTGCCGCTTCCCTCGCACGCCCTGGCGCTGCTGCTGACACGCCTGCGACCTCCGAGAACACAGCACTAACAACCGCGAGCACGAGTAGCAGCAACGCCGCCATGTTCCGCTTCGATTGCAAGCAAAAGAGTCCTGAATGCTTGAGCTCGAGAAAGGCCCGTCCCGTCGGAGATAAGAGAACAGGGGAGGGTTGCTAAATAGCGGTACGGAGTGCTACAGTACCACCTGTGAGGCTGTGACTCTCGCGTTCACAGAACAGAGTATGAACTTTCGAGACTGACGCTGTGTGCTTAGGGTTCATGCTGCCTAGCAGTGGAGCACAGCTGGAAGGAACCTAGTCGTCGCCGGGAGTCACTCGCAATATTGCATGAAGACTAGACAGGACGGGACAGAAGGCAATGACAGGAGGCTCTCGAATGGCCCGCAAAGTGCGGGCGGATGTCAGATGGGTATAAAGAATCTCCTCGCTATTGAAATCTGCTGCATCAGTGTGTACATGAAGTAAGATAGGTACATTTGTAGAGGAGTACATTTATCCCTCAGGCTTATCCGGAGGTATACAAAGCCCGACAAAAAAAGCCCTTTATTATTATGGATTAAGTTTGATACCAATTCGTGGTAATTAAGATAGGGGGTATTAGAGGAAGGTAGAAATGGTGGAACAAAGAGAGGGTGGTAAGGAAAGAAGAGCTGGAGAAGAAGAGAAGGGCCGAAGGAAAGGTGGAAAGAGGAAAAGAAGAGAGGAAGAAACTACAGGAAGGAAACACCTAAGGACCAAAACACCACAGCAGCCCACGCCACAGCGCGGGACACAGACTTTCAAGCACAATCGCTAAACGCCTACACATATGCATCCACCCATCGTCTGACCCTCCCAACTGCCGCACCGCGTGCTGTATAATACTCTGAGCCTGCGCTCGCTGCAGTGCCACGGAAAGTCGTGTAGTAAGTCCGGTCTGGAAAATCCGTGCTGACCCGTCATCCCCCCCCCCCCAATTCTTTACGCCGCTGTGCAATCCGCTGCACACAAAGCCCTAGAAACTGCCTCATTGGCTCGCTGAGCAACCCAAATGTGTCCACTACACAAGCATAAAAATGTGGCGACGGTTGTAAACCCTCTAGATGCGGTGCCCAATCCTGCAACTTGTCATGTACTCGTCTGGTTGCTGCAACACCTATCTGCACTGGGGCCACTCGTCTAAGCCCAGCATTCCCCTGTTGCTGTGGATCTGCAATGGAGACGTCTACCAACACCATCAAAGTTTTTTCTATATCGCGGCAAGTCAAGTCAGGAATGCGGGTTGGTGCCCCTATGCGGCCTGTGCGTCCAGCCTGCCTTTGCGGCTGTACTGGCTGCTGCTGTGCTTGGTCCCTATATGCCTCCTCCCTTGTCGTCTCAGCCTCTCTATCCTCTCCCCCACCCACCTGCCTCCTCCCATCCCCTCTCCCTAACCCCAAACCCCCCAGCACCCTCGCCCTGTCCCCCCCCTCCATACCCTCCCCTTCTAACCCCTGCGCTCCCGCAGTCGTGTCCCCCGCCACCTCCTCTCTCCCTCCCTCCCCGAACCAGCCCGCACCCAAGGGCGGGGTCGCCCCCTGGACCCGGAGCCCGACCTGCCCTTGCTGGCCATCCCGCTGCTGCCCCTGCTGTCCCCTCTCCTCTACCCCACTCGCCGGCCTCTCCTGCCCCTCCTGAACCTCCTGTTGCTGGCTGCGCTGTCTTCTCTCCTCTCCCCCACCAACCTGCCCCTCCTGCCTTTGCTGGCCATGCTGTTGCTGTTGCTGCCGCTGCCGCTGCTGTCCCCTCTCCTCTCCCCTAGTAGCCTGGCCCCACTGACCCTCCTGCTGTTGCCCCTGTTGACCTTCCTGCTGCTGCCCCTGCTGACCCTCTTGCTGCTGCTGCTCTTGCTGTCCTCTCTCCTCTCCCATACTGGAATGCCCATCCTACCCCTGCTGGCCCTCCTGTTGTCGTCGCTGCTGTTGCTGTCTCCTCTCCTCCTCCCAGCTAGCCTGCCCCTGCTGAACCTCACGACGCTACCCATGCTGACCCTCCTGCTGCCGCCCCTGTTGACCCTGCTTACCTTCCTGGTGCAGCCGCTGTTGCCCTCTCTCCTCTCCCCTACAAACCTGCTGCCGCTGCCCCTGCTGGCCCTGCTGCTGCTGCTGCCGCTGTGGCTACTGCTGCTACTGCTGCTGCTGTCCACTCTCCTCTCCCCCACTAGCCAGCCCCTCCTGCCCCTGCTGGCCCCGCTGCTGCTGTCCATGCTATCCCCTCTCCTCAACCCCACATGGGGGGCTTATGCGTGTAGAGGGTTTCGGGGGGATAATATTCCCTATTTTTTGGAGTTCCAAGATAGCAACCCCCCCTCTCCCCCCCCCAACCACCCCTCCCCTCCCCTTCTAGGGCTTTGTATAGGGAAAAAGGCCTAACAAAGTACAAAAGCGCTGATGATCACAAGACGGAAGTGCCTTGGTGAATATATCAGCAGTGTTGGCCTGAGTGGCCACGTGAGCAAGACGAAGCTGACCACGCTGCTGCAACTCTCGAGCCAGGAAGTAACGCAGAGCAATGTGCTTCTTTCTGTGCTCATGACACAAGGCAATGGCGGCCTTGTTGTCTACATACAGAACTGGAGGAGAACGAAGCGCCTCTCCCAAGTCGGTCAGCAGGTAGGTGAGCCAGCGTAACTCCTGTGCAGCCATGGCTATGGCGTAGATCTCAGCCTCACAACTAGAGCTGAGAACAGAAGACGAGCGGGTAGACCGCCAAGAAACAGAACCGGAGCCCAGGCTGAAGGTGTAACCGTGTGACGACCGCTGCGTAGCCAGGTCGTCAACCCAAGACACGTCAGAGTGTCTAGTGAGGAAAACGTCACCCCGTTCTCCAAGCACGAGCTTCATGCCTGATGTACTGCACAAGTAGCGTAGTACCCTCTTAGCAGCATCCATGTGCACCTTTTGGTGCCTACCAAGAGCCACGTAATGAGCCAGAAGGCCAAGAGGGTAGGCAAGGTCAGGTCGAGTGCAGGTCATCAGGTACATAAGGCAGCCCACTAGCTCTGGGTACGGACCACTCGGCTCTACGGACTCGTCCGAAGGTGGAGCTGAGAGCGAATGACCTGCTGCCAGAGGAGTGAACTGTGGCAAGGACCAGGTGAAGCCGAAGCGCTGAAGGACCTGCTGCACCATGTGTGACTAAGTCAGTGTGATGGTGCGCCGTGCTCTGTTCCGAGTGATCTACAAGCCAAGGTAACTGCGCAGCTCACCCAGGTCTGTGCACGTGTGTCTCCTCTTCAGCAGTGGCAAAGACCAAGTCGTCGACGTACACGAGGATGTAGAACAACAACAACGAAATGTCTGTGCGCAGAATCAGCGACGGGTCAGCAGTGAAACGGGCAAACCCAAGAGCCGCAAGCGTCGCCCTCAGTGTGTAGTGCCACTCATGAGGCGCCTAACGGAGACCGTATACGGGCCGATAGAGGCTCCACTGGGTACCAGAAGGGAACGACCCAGTGAAGCCAGGTGGGCGGCGCAGCCAAATCTCCTTGTGCAGACTGCCCTGCAAGAACGTTGTGCTAAAGTCGAGAGAGTGAAGCTCGTAGTCACGCTGAGCTGCGATGTGCAGCAGCACCCGAAGAGTGTTCATCTTCGGGGTGGGGGAGAAGGTCTGGAAGAAGTCAACTCCCTGTCGCTGATTGAAGCCTCGTGCAACGTAACGAGCCTTGAAGACAGACGGAGAGCCCGGCGGCCGCTTCACCCTGAAAATCCACATGCCATTGACGATGTTCTCCCCAGAAGGGGGAACCTCATCGACATAAGTGCCTGTGGACTTCCAAGATGCCATCTTTGCGTCCATGGCTGTCTGCCACTGAGAGGAGTACTCACCCGCGATCGCCTCAGCGTAAGAGCGCGGGGTCAGAATGTCTGGAGCATCCGGGTCTACCTCAGGGGCAAGCAGCATGGCCACGAGATGAGGTACAGCAGTCGCAAGACACTCAAAGTCCTCCTGCCTGTCCTCAAGGACGTCCGTGCCAAGAGCACACTCACCCCCGACGGACGGAGAACAGACAGACTCAGAATCAGCAACAAGACTAGCAGCAAAGTCTAGACGACAGGCAGCAGCAAAGTCAATAAGCTCAGCGACTAAGGGAGACGCCAGCACCTCTAGTACCAGCACCTCAAGCAGCTCCAGAACCTCCACCTCCAGCGCCTCTAGCGCCAGCATCTCCAAAACCAGCGCCACCAGCAGCAGCACCCCCAGAACCGGCACCTCCAGCCCTGGTCTCTCTAGCCTCACTGTCGATAGTAGGACCTCCAGGTCCAGCAGTACCTCTAGCCTCAGCAGCTCCAGTAGCTCCAGTACGAGCACCTCTGAGAACAGCGGCTCCAGCAACTCCAGTAGAAGCGCCTCCCGTAGCAAAGGCACCAGCTCCAGTGCCCCCAACGCCAGCGCCTCCCGCAGCAGGGCCCCTAGCTCCTGCAGCGCGACCCTGACGGCTAATGTACCACTCACACAGCTGCTGTGGGGAGAGAGGGAGGCGCCGACAAGAGTGTTGCGGCGAGGCACTAGTAGAGCGACTACGGAGACGGCCACTCCAAGGAGACTGCTCACCAGACGCCTCAATACCCCTCGGTGCAGCACCCCTAGACTCAATACCCCCAGGCTCAGCACCCCCAGACTCCTCACGCACAGGCTCAGCACCTCCAGGCTCCGCACACTCAGGCTCAGCACCCTGAGGCTCCTCACTCTCAGGCTCAGCGCCTCCAGGCTCCGCACCCTCCGGCTCAGCACCCCCAGGCTCCTCACGCTCAGGCTCCAGGCTCCGCACCCTCAGGCTCAGCACCCCCAGGCTCCGCACCCCCAGGCTCAGCACCACAGAAGCAGCACCCCGAGCAAGACCACCCCGAGCAGGACCTGAGTCACCAGTGACCTCAACCGGCTTAGTCAAGGGAGGAGGGTCTACCTGAGACACATTTGAAGGAGCAAGATCTGGAGCGGGGAGGGGGTCTACCTTGGGAGGACCTGGAGCAAGAAAAAGCGGCGGGGGGGGGAGAGGGGCAGTGCGGTAGGGAAAAAGACGGTAAAAGGGGACCGACTTGTCA